TTTTTTTTTTATACTGTCAAATGTAACTGTCAAAAGTGTCTGTAATATTATCAGATTGTCTTTTTTTTTTTTTGTCCAACTGTAACACTCTGTTTTTCTTTTTTCTAATTAACATAAAAATTTGAAAGAACACCGAACAACAGAAATTTGTATTTTATGCAAAAAAACACGAAAGAAATTAAGCTTTTAAATACTGTCCTAAAATTTCTTGCTAAGTTTATTATTACTTTTTCAAGTAATTCCTACTTAAATCAATTTGTCGCTAAAACAGCAAAGCTGAAAAAAAAAGACAAGAAAAGAAGAAAACAGTAGTTAATTCAGTAATTGAACCAAACTAAGAAAGCCAACTAAGAAAACGGTATCAAACTGTAAAAAGTTTGAATAATTGAATACAGAAAGATCAGATTAATTCAACAAAGATCAGTGCTTTCTGTTTTTTTTTCCTGGAAAACTGATTGATCACTTTTTTTGGTGATACAATTATTTTTACAGCATAAATTAATAGTGTTTCGTTGTTTTTTTTATTTTTTCAAAAATAATTTGGTTAAGTTTTTCTTTTGTGTTTTTGTTTCAATACTTCTCTTCCCAAAAATTTTTCAAACAAATTTTCATTTAGAGAATGTAAAAACCATAGATATTTGTTAAGAAAAAAGAAAAGAAAGAATTTTTTTGATACAGCGTAAAAAGTTAATGTTTATTGTTGTCAACAACAACAGTTTTTGTTTCAACAGTCTTTTGTTTTCTTTATTACAGTTAACAGTTTAAAGTATTTATATTTTTTTTTTTGCTTGTCCTTTTATCAACATACCAAAAACAATTGATTCAGTCAGTCAGTAAAATTTTACGTTATATACACTTAAATGAATTTGAAAAAAAATTCCATGAAAATAATAGCTTCCAAGTTTTTCTTCTTCTTCAGACAATCATTTCTTCACCACCACCACCACCACCACCACCACCACCACCAACTTCTTCTTCTTCTTTCCGTTTTCAGTAGTATTATTTTCCGCCTATTTTAACACCATATAAATTGTGCTGACAAATTGCCTACCGCTGATACGGTGGTGAAGAAGAAAGAAGAAAAAAATTTCATTTGCCAATTACAAAATAATAATCTTCAAAAAGAAGTTGCTAAAAAATCAACAGATTCACTGTTCTGTTTTCTGATCATCCGATGTCTGATACTGAAAACCAAATTTTACTGGTTAAAATTTCAAACTACTGACAGCAGATTACAATAACCAGGGAAAAAAAAACACACACACTTTCCCCTGTTGTTTAAATTTAAATTAATAAAAAAATTTCTTCCAAAACGTTTTAATTTTTTGCGACAACTAATTCGATTACAAAAAAAAAGGAAGAAGAACAACAACAAACTGATATCTTTTTCAACCACTGTAATCAGTCGGTATTTCTTTTTTTTTTCTAGGTGACAGATTGGATAACAAAATTTTACTTTTTCACCTCTTATCATCAGCAATTGTTCAATTTTGATAATATTATTATTATTTCTGTTCTTGAAAATCTAAACTATATTTAAGTGGTATAGATTGTTGATTGCAGATAAAGGTTTTCAAAACATTAATTGAGCCGTCAGTATCACCTCAACAAATGATAATAATTTTTTTTTAAAATTAACAATTTCATAAGTTATGTTAAAAAAGAAACTATTTTTTTTTTGACCAATAAAATAGTTTCATCAATTTAATCAATCTTTTATGTGTCACCAAAAAATCCAACCCAATTTATGGGATGTAAACAGAACAATACCAAATTTTATGGATGTCTGAAGAACAATACATTTGCTACCTTTTATTAAGTATAAAATTATTCGTTTTTTTTTTTTCCATTCTACGCTAAACTATGGTTTTCGGCTATCCGAAAAACTTTACTGTTCAGCACCTAATCAAGCCAAACATTTATACTCTCTCACTCAAAATTCCATACAAGAAAGTTGACAAAACAACAAAAAAGCTTGAAATAGATACCATAAAAGAATCGTTCCACCAAATCATTTACAGCAATAATCGTATGTATCAAACTAATACAGGAAACCAGCCCCCCCCCCTCTTATGCCTAACCGCTATCCACCTCCATTCCAGCCAAAAAAAAAAAAGGAAAATCTGTTCAGTTTATTAAACCTATAATCAAATTAGGAAACATTGATGTAAGAGTACGAAAAGAAAGACAAATACTGTTGCGTAAACTGATGTCGATGTGTCAAAATTCAGATTTCCCTCAACAACAGCTATACAGAAATCAAAAAAAAAATGCTTCGTACTTAGAAAGAGGCTTTAAAACAAAAAAAAAAAAAACACTTTAACAGCTGCAGACACTTATATTTTACCCCAACCCATAATGTTGTATTATTATCATTATTGTTATTATAATTCTCCTCCTTCTCCTTATTATTATTGTTATTATTATTACTATAATTGTTATTATTATTATTTTTATTATTATTAC